AAACTCAAATCAAATAATAATTGTTAAAAGTGCCCGGCGATGTCTGTTCTGCCATGAGGATAGCGTCCGCCTGTGACCCCGCCTCCCAGTCCCTCACCCCGCCTCCCAGTCCCTCACCCCGCCTCCCAGTCCCTCATGCAGCCAGGTACAAGGTGAAGCTCAACTCAAATAGATCCTGACAAAAGAAAGAAGAAATGAAACCAGGGGGACGACTGAAATAAGTTTCTCTTTGCGAGCTTGCGTGCGGTTTTTAATTTTGGTTGTTTGTTTGCTGTTTTTTTTCTTAGGTGTTCGTTATCACTTTGTAAGCCTGTCTTTAGGAGCCATATCACCCACTATATTAAGGGGACCTTTCTCATGACCCCGGTGTGTAACCACGAATAAAAGGAAATATTCTGGGGGTAGCCAGAAGAGGATGATACGGAGGCTACATATATACACCCCCCCCCCCCCCATGCCAGGTGGCTGTGGTCTCGCTGTCGTCCCTGTTTTCCTAGCTAAAGCCCCTCCCAGTCGTCACATTAGACGTCGGCCGTGATGAGCTTTCCCTCCCAGGAGAATCTGGACCCTCGTCTGTTTCCGTCTGAACCTTTCTCTCTCTTACAGTCTCCACTGTCAAAAAATAGCCCCCGCCCCCCACGACTGGCCCTCCTTCCGGTCATGAGAAGGAGCGGTGAAGAAGTCCCTGTTTCTCCGGCTTCCTTCCTGACTCTCAGACCTCCCCGTGAACTGTGGCTTTCCTGGGCAGCTGCGCTCTGCTCGCAGTGACATCGGGCTCAGCGAGAGAGAGATTCCACTTACCCTCCCTCCCCCGTCTCTCTCTCTCTCTCGCTCTCTCCCTCTCTCTCTCTCTCTCTCTCTCTCTCCAAAAGCCTATTGGCAGTGGATTAGTGAATTAGCTTACAGCTTCTGGGACAGCTTGTTTGACTCTGGATCCTGCATGTGCGTGAACTGTAGCCGTTTGCTCACAAATCGGGGTGAGTGTTTATCCCAAGAGTGGGAGGGGTCACTTCTAACTTTTTTTTTTAAGCTTTTTACAAACGTCTCCTTCTCCATACATCTCAATCTCTCTCTCTTTCTCTTTCTTTCTCTGTCTCTGTCACTTAATGCTTAGAGGAAATATAAAATGTGTGTGGATGTTGGCTTGGTGGGGGACAGGGCGGGCACCGTGCTAATGTCATATGTTCAGCAGCTAATGGTGTATGTTACTTACACGGGCGGCGCAAGCCGATGAATTGGGCTCTTTTGTTTGCCAAGGATACAGCTGAGGGCCCGACTGAGACTGTGTCTGAGGTGTCACTGACGGGGGATTGCGAGCTGGGATGGGCTTGGGGGCAGTGTGTAGTGGGGAGGGTAGGATCACACTCGCCGTGTTAAGCGGCGTGGGGGCAAGGGGTCAGAGGGCGGGGGAGGGAGGATTAAGCGCTCGTGGCAAAGTCAACCGGCGTTCACGTACGGTGTCACATCGGCGGGATCCCTCGATGTCGCGAGCGGGAGAAGAGGCTGCAGAAGTTAAAGCGGGTCGGGACGCGACAGGAGAACGGTGCCTCAGCTGACCGGCTGCAGAGGTATCACTGCGCTGTCGCATGTGGAGAGCCGCAGCTTCTCACTGATTGGACCCCATTTGCAGTAATTAACGGCGCATTATGTCTCCATTAATATTTCTAAGCTTAGATAAAACTTTTCCTAAAACATGCAGTAACTGAGTAAAGGTCATGGGATTTATGAAAGTGAAAACAGACTCATGACCCTGACTGGGATTAGCAGGTGGGAGATGTTTGTGTGTGTCTGTGTATGTATGTGTATATATATATATATATGACTTTAAAAAGTTTAATTAAACCAGTAAATCCCAGTACTACCAAGGTCATACGTTCTTTTTTTGCATTAATGTATATATTTTATGCATTTTAATGAAAGTACATTTTAATGTAGACAATTTATAAGTTTATGACATTTTTGGGGCATTCTCCTTTTTTGTGAAATTGAGCATAACTGGATGTTTGATCTCCTGTTTCCGTGTTGTTATAACATGCAAGTAAGTAGTACTGAAATCAGCTAAATACATTCTTGCATTTTTTTCTTCATGACAAAAATGCTGTTCTCGTAGTTTGACGTTTCACTTCTTATTTAGTTGTCTTTATATTAACTATTTCTCTTCTTATTCATTCGGCATCACATTAGCACAAGCACACAGTGGCCTAATGAGTTGACATCATCTGAACCAAATCAACGGGAACTGTGCTAACGTCTGTAATGCTAACACTGTGCTAACGTCTGTATGCTAACACTATGCTAACGTCTCAAAGCTACCAGCTAATAGGTCATGGGTCCGGTTTAGGGCATTGGGCCTGATTCTCTATATTTCTCCTGTAACTCAGACCTGTTTCAGCACTCATGTCTGTCTCCAGCTGCACTGTCTGTTGCATTTCGATTTGCATTTAGAGATGGCTTCATTTCCTCCCATGGCAATTCGCTTTGGTTTTTAGTCATCGCTTTGCGGTAAAAATTCCCTCCTGCTGCCTTCAGATGCTATGAAATCATAATGCCTAAAATACAAAAGCCCCCATCTTGGAGATGACTCCCCCTAAGGCACTGTAATCCGTGTTTGCTAAAGTCCGGTAACGTTTCAGATGCAAAACTGCCATGTGGTTTGATGGTACATTTTTGCTGAGTCTTGAATGACTTAGATTCCTAGTTCAGCAGCAGATTACTACAGGCCGTCATAAAACCAACACACTTCTCCATTACGCTCCATTTTTAAGGTATATAAACACTCTCATTACAAAGAAAATCAAATTGTGCCCTTTATTAATGATGCGTCATATTACTGGTACACTCATCACATGAATAGCAAGCTGTTTTGTCACCTTGAGGAATAAAAAACGCAAAGTTAGTCTTTTCAGGATTGTTCGTTCTGCTAGAAAATGTCTAACTAACACTTGCAAATCAAATGTGTGCTCAAACACTGATTTCATTTTTTTTGCTAATGTGCAGCAAATCATGCTGATCTTAGAATTAAAAAAATAATGCAATGACGATGCATAATATATATCATATACCATATTAAAGGTATCATATCTGTTTATAAGCTGAGAGATCAGCTGTTATTGTCATTGTAACCGATATCAATCTAATAATACCAAAAAAAAAAAAATGCCAAACCTGAAACATGTATATTATTTAAAAACAAGGCTCTGGTGTTATCCTATTATCAATTACAGGAGTTGTTTTTTACCTAGTTTGTTGAAAGCAGAGCACCAGCCCGGAACAGAGCATGATGGCATCAAATCGAATCAAAGAAAAATAACGAAATCACTTATATCCCCTACAAAAGTTTATTAAGTGTCGACAGGATATTCCTTCATGGTGTTTCTCGAAAGCATTAAGACCCTTCTTGACATTTTCTTATGCGTGTCGTCCCGTCGTTTAGGAGCAGATGCCGGAGTGAACTGAGAGAGGCAAGTGGTACGGACAACGAACGCCTTGGGGAGAACCTCAAGAGGAGCAGGAGAGGAATACCCACGATTCCTTGGAGACGGGACAGAGGAGAAGACGGGGAAGATGGGGAGGAAGAAGATTCAGATTGCACGTATTATGGACGAACGCAACAGACAGGTGAGAGAGCACGGAGGAGGGTGGGTGCAGCGGGCGTGGGGGGGGGGGGTGCTCTAAGTCGGCTGTTGGTCTAAACAGGAGGTGTTTTCTGGGTGGCTAGATAAGAAGTAAACAAACGGCACTTGCATTTGCATCCCTATCGTCATGGGGACTTTCCATCGACGCTGAAATGCAATTAATAATCGGCGACCCCATTCCGACGCAGCTCAAAAAATGTATGACGCCCCCCCCCAAAAAAAGAGCCAGCGTTACTACAGGCTTTTTCAGGCACCCTTCCTCACACCACGTCCCGGTGTAGCCGGCAAGACCTACTCGAACTCTGCAGACATATCAGTGAGTAGCTGGTATCGTTGGCCTGTGGCGGGCAGGGCTTCGCTCCCTGTTTGTGCGTCCTCACACGCGCGTGTGCCTCTCAGGGGAAGCTCTGTACCAGCGTCTACTGACATCATTAGTCACAAGACCCTCACAAGTTTCTAGGACAAGGACTATATCGGATGCGGCACTTTTGCCTATAGATCGTCGCCATGGCCAGGCAACTGCAGCAATTTTAAGAGCAAAAAAATAAGATAGACGCACACGAACGGGCCAGATGTGCACGGCAAATATTATTTTCTGCACGGGTCGAGGCAGCATAATGGGTAGAAAGTGCAGCACAGAAGGAAGGTCATTTACCGAAAATCAGAGAAGAGCTGCCGATTGTTGGCTTAGCATACCTATAAGATGGACATTCACCCACAGACACACACAACGAGGTTCATTAAGAGGCACCCTGGTGTTTGAAAGAGCTGTTTAGTTCTGCTTCATGTAATCCACATTTGTCCAAATGCAGCCGCGTTGTATGCATTGAGAATCCAATAATCACCAAAAAAATATATATGAAATTAATGAGAAAAGAGAAATAAATACAGGCAATAGCTCATAAGAGTAGACACAAGAAAAAAATATATATCAGAAGAAGAAATTAATGTACATGAAAACCAACAAGTTATTAGCGTGTCCTGCCCTTTTATGGGATATTTGTGGCTCTATTTGGTACAATTTCCTGAGAAGGACTGTTTGGTTCATTCAGGGCAGCATGTTCCTTCTGAAAAGCTGAAATGATCAGGGTCTTTGAGGTGAAAATCATCATACAAAAAAGCAATTTAATTCAACAACATTTGGAAAGGGGTTGGGAAGAGGAAAAACAAAGTCTTAGCATAAAATAACACCATGTACTCTGACGTGTCGCATTCGAGGCGCGAGACAGAGCCTGGTCTGATGATTGAAACATGTTTAATTCCTAAATGAGGCAATTTGCTGGACTGTTCTGAGGCTTACCGGGACACACCGTTCACCTGTGAGGCAAACAGACCGCCGAGATCGCCATGCCTATCTGCGGGACGCCAGCAAATCACCATGCAGGGCATCTCCGGCTGCTGCAGTGAGGGCGAGAAAGGAGGCGAACCTAAAAAGCAGTGGCCTGAATCAGCCCCCCACTGCAGTCATACAGCCCCCTGTTAAATTAATGTAATCTTGGGGGTGGGCATCTAAATTATTGAGGGTACTGGGGTCCACAGGAAGAAGTGAGGAAGAAATATGGACTCTGAAGGGTGCGTTGGACACCGTGGACCGCGCTGAAGTAGATTTATGAAGGGGGGGGGGGGACTCAATGTAACACTGCTCGACTGTCCTCTTATTTATTTTCATTCTTTTTATTTTTATACAGAAGTGCTCCATCATCTCACGTGAAGGCTTACCCACATTTAAACACGAGTAATGCGAAATTAAAGTGACTTCAGTAAAAATAAAAGAACACAACTTTCATTTCATCAAAATCTTTTTTCGGGGCAAGATTTACTATCTAAATAAGGTTGATGTTATTTTAACGTACAGGACTCGTACAGAATGCGAAAACCGGTCCGTATAACACAGTGTTGTTGTGAAAAAAACAGCATTACTTATTGCAGGATATTCAGATATTAAAAGTTTTACTTCATTTACTGCATATCTGCCTATCTTTAAATATGCTTATGCTTTTTATAAAACAATTAAAAATAAAGTGAAACGCTCTGGAGACTAACACAGTAAAAAGAACTGAATGAAGCAGCAGGATTAAATAACAGGGTTGCTTATTAAAACCACAGCCGTTTGCATGTTGCTGGAGGGACACACTGAAAATCATTAAGTGTGTCAGGATGCCACAAATGTGTTTGGTAGAATCAGTCACAAAAAATAATAACAGGCAGAAAAGAGAGGCGATCACTACGTTTCCAGAAAGGCCCCTTATACTGTGGGCTTAATGGTCGTCTGCTCCTAAACGAGATTCTTTTTTTCAAGCAGAATTACTTTTAGCTGTTTTGGCTCTTTGACACTCTGTGAATCCCAAACCAGAAGTGGAGATTTCATTGTCCATGGCGGGGAATTAGTTTGATTTTAGTTTAGGATCAGACCGTTTTCGAATCTCTAGAAAGCAGTGAGAGTCGACATCGTGCGTACCAGGAAGTTTGCCCGTGTTCGGTGAAAGAAATCAAATTGCTGCTCAGTGCAATGAAATATACATCTGCTAACCAGAAGCGAGATTTCACGAAGTCCCTACCCCCCAACCCCCCATGAGTGCGCCCAGCCTTTCAGGTTTGAACCAAACTCTGAATCAAAGGCCAGACAGCTTCAAGCCCTTTGATGACAATGACATCTGTAAAAACCTCTTTAGTTTTTTAGTTTCAGTTTGTTGCTTTTTCTTCAGGCTGCTTTCTGTCTTCTGCTTATTTAAATGCTGAAACAGGAAGGACAGCAGCCATGCTGATGCTAACGCGCTACGCTACAGCCATGATTCATTCAAACCATCGTGCTGCTCGAGCTCGACTTTGACTCACAGATTTAAGCAACGCTTTGTTTCCTTTTTTTATTTATTTGTTCCTTAAATTTTTCCATTATATGTTTTACGTAACACTTCACAAGTACCAAAGAAAAACATGCTTTTTTTCTCTTATCCCATGTGAAATATTGCAGTTTTCCCAAGTACCAGCAACAGAACTGAAAATATTTCCTTTGGGATATTTTTATTATGATATCTTTCAAACCTCCGTCAGGATTTTCGCCATCTTGACTCACTTGAATCACGTTGATATCTAATTGTGCCGGGATTACGTCAATCAGTGTCTCAGAAAACCCCTTTCATTACCTCTTCCTATCTGGTAATTGTATTTTTTTTTTCTTAGCGAGCTTTGGATTCACATCGTGAGCCTTACAAAACAAATTGTAAGAGCAGATGTTGCCACAGTGCCGTGCACAGAGCAGCTGAGCGGGCTCCCCGCCACACACAACATCCCCGGCGATTCGTGGTGCGTGACGAGCTCACGGCCATCGCTCAGGCAGCACCAGACTCTATGGGTGATTCGAGTGCATATCGGTTTGTTCAGGAAAGGCAGAATGACTGACCCCCCCCCCCCCACACACACTCCGGGCCGCCATGCAACATTAGCCTCAGTAGCACATGCTGCCCGCCGTAGACTCAGCGTGTAACCCGATACGGCTTAAAGCCACGCCGATGGCCAGGCAAACGGGAGGCCGCCACCCAGGGCCCCGCCAGCTATAGGGCCAATGCCGGGGGCCCGTATCACAGCAATGCATCTGCCTGCATAGCTCACTGGGGGGGGGGGGGGGTTGATCGAGGAAACCCAAAGGGGAATACGCCCGGGGGGTGCAGGATGACCACTGACAGGAAGGAGGGAGAGACACGTAGCCGGAACTCCCCCCTGCCAACCCCCTTCCATACCAGGGTGTCAGAAAACCGCATTTATTTATACCCTGGTTGTTGTTTACGTGTGAACCTGCATAGGCGAGAGAGCAGGAGTGTCAGAGAGAGAGAGAGAGAGGGAGAGAGATTGAGTGCCGTGACAGAGAAAGGGCAGCTAAATCTACGTCAAATTAACGATGCAGAATAATCAAGGCTCTCTGATCTGTCCTGTTCCTTGTTTTTTGTTCCGGCATTCCATATTTTGGGTTTGCTTTCCTTGGATTGCACAAAAGGACAGCCTTAGTAAAGTTGATGAAATGCTTTAACGCATTGTGGAGGATCTTTTCAGTCTTTTCAAAGGAAAATGCAAAATATAATACTGCATAGTGTATTCACCAATTTGTATTATTATAAATGGAGAGGATTGCTATAACATCCGTCCATTCATACATACATCTTCTGTAGCTCTTATCCAGTGCCTGGCTGGTGAGAGAATCCCTTGATGTATTATTATACAGAAGGGTATATATATTAAGGCCAAAATACACAGAAAGTTTGCACGAAATTCTCTGAGGGCCCCACCTGACCTTGCCAAAGTAACGGTGTTCACAGCGCGCGGGGGTTCACAAAAGTGCGCAGGCATGGGACAGGCGGCTGTCTCCAAGGACCCCCCAACCCCCCAGGCTAACAGGAACGCGGGACGGGAGGTGGGATAAGCAGAAGCGAAGCCTTTGTGAAGGGGAAGCTGCCTGGCTCTTCCTGTTATGGCAGGAAACACATACAAATATGCTTCCTGGCCTCTTCTCGTGGCAGGGAATGACGATATTGTTGACCTCTTTCTCTTTCTTCTTCTTTTTTCTTTTGTGCCAGAGGGACAGTGGGGGTCTTGGGAGCCCCCTGGTAAACATGCTTGTCTTCAGGAACCTTCTTTGTACCTGCTTTTAGAGAAGCCTCTTAGATGCCATGTAGGGGCTAAACTCAGCCCTGACTGAAAGTGAGATGAGTGTCTCTTCACATTCTGTCTCAAATTGCTAATTCTAGCAGTGGCAGAGGGCTGGGCCTGGATTATCCATGAGGAGAAAAGACATCAATATGACATGGCGATTTTGGAGAAGAAAACAGCTCTCCACGAAGAGTTAGTGTACGCTCGGCAAAAAGCACTACGTAGTGAGGCGTGCACTTACTTACCTGCAGAGATGAAAATGTCATGAGCATCTAACTGGCCAGCGGCTGTGATTTAGGTTTTCGCTGCGACATCCAAGTGCCCTAATCCCTTTCTTTACAAACCACAGTGTTACACAGAATGGTTTTTTACTTACAGACGCATGGGTTTAAATGTTTAGCACTTTCAAGAATGTGTGGAAACCAATTGTCACCATATTGGCTGTTGGCCTATCACCGCCATCAGCCTCGTAAAGCTTGTTGACGCTGTCAAACTTGTGAAGATATGAGACGGAACAGAATAGGTGCATAATTTCAGCCATGACATAAACTGTGGGAGAAAAGTCGTTTGTATTGAGCCTTTTTTAATGGTCGTTTCCCACCAATCGCTACAGACGTTACAGGGGCACAGTACTGGGAGCGAGTGGTTACCACAGAGCAGAACGCCGCAGCTCAAACAAGGCTGCAGGAGGAAATGTCACAGGCACGAGGAGTAGTCATTTACCGTGACCTGGGTCATATTTACTGCCTGATATCATGAATGTGTGACTGATTTAATGTGTTAGAGTAAACCTGCACACACAGTACACACATTCAGCTGCAGAGACGAAGATCCATTGCGTAAAATATTTTACTGCCGTGATTTAAAATGTCATCATAAACCCAGATTGGAACAATGAAAAAGAAGTGGATGTATGGATGTATTTCAGGTGATTTTTATAGTACATGTAGTCATGGCGATATATTCATCTGTTCATGCACCCATCTCTTAATCTGTCTTAATCTTACTACTCCAGGTAAAGGGTCATAGTCATAAGGAGATAATAATTGTGAAATATTTGTTTTGCAGTAGATAGATAGATAGATAGATAGATAGATAGATAGATAGATAGATAGATAGATAGATAGATAGATAGATAGATCGATTGATTGATTTGACTATTGTTTGGGACATTTTGTTTTTAAATGTCTTGTTGCTGGCTGCCTTCAGCTTGCATAGCTGTTGGGTTCCAGACAACTGTCTAGCTTTTCACATTTTGGGTGTGCGTGTGTGTGGGGGGGTTTGTTATATATATATATGTTACACTGTGGGGATCGAACCTGGTATTTTGATGGTGTGGGGGGCACTATTTGATCCTCACAAGGGGTTTTCCTAGAAATGAATGGATGGTCCCCACAAAGATATGTGTGTGTAACCTGTGTGTGTATGTGTGTGTGCGGGTCCCACCCGTCGCGGCTGCTATTCGGCTGTAACTCCGGCCCCCATCCCGTGCCTTTTTGGCGCGAGTCTCGTCCCAGCGTGCAGACTGCCGGGCTTAACCGCCGTTGCCTGCTGGAGGGTGCGATCAGCACCGCGCGTGTGACCGTGACGTCCGTGCCGACGGGGGCGGGGGGGGCTGGGGGGGGCGGAAGAGGCCGCCCACCTCGATGCCACTCATCAGACGCCGGCGTCCACCAATATGCATCCGATTCCTGTTACAGAGTTGATTTATATCTGAACAGTAACGGCATCTAAGCACCCAGACAGATGGCCTTTTGAAAACAGGTTAGTTAGCTGGTATGAATTATTATTAAGCTGGTTAAGGGGATGTGGTGGGGCTATACACCAGGCCTGGCAGGAACTGAGTTGTCACCCACTAAGACGTCACCCACGGAAACTCCTGGCCCAGTCTCCCAGCCCCTCCACCCACAGTGAGCTGGGGTGGGGGGGGGGTGCAGCAGTCCTTGTGCATTTTTAAAAATTAATCGCAGAAATGGACTCAAACAGTCGAGTCAGCCGTGTGCTGATGCTCCAGCCGCCCCCCCTCCGCTGGGGGGGAACACCCGGCTCGTTTTTCTGCCTCGCCGGGTAGTGGCACCTCCTGGGAAAGAACAAAAAAAAAGTCCTTCCCGTACTGGCAGCGCCCGCCCCCCCCCCGAAAGGGCATACCTGCTTCTCAACACCTTGTTTCCTCCAGGAAACGGCTTTATTCAGGACACCGAATGCAATCTCCATGGCAGATTTATTTATTTATTTTTTAATAATTCATTTGAAAAGAAGTTATAAGAAGCTTTTTTGGATTATTAGTTTAAAAAATATGCACTATTAGCCTAATTACACAAGAACTTTGTTAAAATAATAATTATGATCATTTTTAAAAAAAACGGGGCAAGTACTGACCTCTCTTTGCGATTTGTCCCGCTCCAAGCATGATTCATTCTCACTTGCATCAGAGGCCAGGTACCATGCAGGGCAGACATGCAGAAAGGGGAAGATGTGGCTTTCTGTGACATTACTCATTCTGACGCCGCTGTCAGTCACAAAATGCCCGTTGTCCAGGCTAAATATATTCCCCTTATTTATTTTTCCATCATATTTGGTTCAAAACACTTTCAGTTCCGTTATTAAATGCAATACATTGATTTCTAATCCTTTCGGTTTAGGATGAAATCGACCGGGCTTAATTGCCTGGGCGCTGTTTATCTCGCATTGTTTTCTGCGCCGGCGGTAATTTAGTATGCAGTGTAAACAGACTGGGCAACGCTACACATGAATAAATGAAAGGCATATGACTCTTAACAGCTCCCAGTTTTATTAGGATCGTGTTTAAATCGACGCTGCTGAATTAAGCACATTGACTTACACGTCGCAAATGGGTGCTGGCCGCGATCTTGTTTTTACACCGTTTGCTGTAGTTTGTCTACAAGTCAGACGTCAAGATCGCATTACTGATACCGGGAAAATGATGTTAATAAGAAGGAAAAAACATTGGTGATACAGGATGATAATAATAATAATATGAGAAAATAAATCAAGAAAATGATTATGCATTGCAAAAAGGCAGCATGCCTTTCGTTTCGTTTTGGAATAAAAGCGTCAGCTGTTTGATTTATTTTTATTTTTAAAAGTGAGTTTTACGCGTTTCGCGTTAATCCGAGGCCGGGATCTCGCTGGCGGGGGCTGAGTCCCGGTGCCCTAGCTGCCCGATGCCCGGTGCCAGCATAATACCGGGCTGCCGCCGGCTTACAAGCGCGGATAACCGGGCGAGGGGGGAGGGAGTCAATTCGCGGGGCATGAACTTCACCTTGGATTTGTCATTTTCTAAATTTAGTGCAACCCCTCGTAGGCAAGATCTCCGCTGGCGTTTAATAGGTGGCGTTTGGGATGGAGGAGTGCGGTGTACAAGCGGAGGGGGGGTCGCTGTCACGCTTCCGTGGCTGCAAGTCTGTTTAAAGCCGTTTAAGTGCAAACTGCTTCGTGTAAAACGTTTGTCATTTATTCAAGATTGTCCTGGAGGGATAACACCTGGCCAACGGGACGATGCTGTAGGGATATCATCATAAACTGCAAATAGACAACTGTAAAGACAAGGGGGCGCGAGGGACCCCGCAAGCTATTCATGTGTACCAAAGAAATGGTTTGGAATCGGTTTTATTTAATGGTTTTTAAAATTTTAGATAATTCTTATTAAAAAGCCAGCAAAAAGCTCGCCTGTGGTATGTGCCATTCACAGAATACGTTCATTGAATTCACCGAACCTCCTTGATGCGTTTAAGCAGCTGTGAATGAACCTATTTTTATTTTCTTTGTCCCGGTAGCTGTCTTGGGCCCCAAAGGTCCCAAAAATAACTGTCTGGCCTATAAAATGAAGTGTACTCAGCACTGGGTACCAGTAAAAACTCTATAGACGTTCTGCTGGACTTTTTGCATTAACTATTCGTGTCAACCTTCACGATGTCATAAATATTGTACAATAATCATGAAATAAGATTTCTTTTGGCTATGGCTAATCATTTATCTTTGTGCTATTGATGTTTGTGCGAATGAAACATGCTTTTGTTGTTTAAGATTGGTATTTGCGGCAACACTGATGGATTTACATATTTAAAAAAAAAAAAACAAAAACGTGAGCTGAAGTCGGACGCATTTACTTTTCCAGGTGACGTTTACGAAGAGGAAGTTCGGCCTGATGAAGAAGGCCTACGAGCTGAGCGTGCTNGGGGGCCGTGCTCTGGCCCACCGTGCCACGGTACACGCTCAGTCAGGCAGCACTCGGGGAGCGAGGCCGAGCCGAGGTCTGGCATGGCAGTGCCCCAGCGCCCCGCCTGCACGCAGCCTGCGTCTCCCACGCCGTGCCCTTCTGCTCCCCCCGCGCCGCCCGCGGTGCCCCGCCGAGCGTGACAGAAACCTCTCCGTGGGGCCGCCGCTCATCCGGGCCCTCGCTCTGCCTATCTCACATTCCCCCTTTTTATTGCCACCCCTGTGATCATCCCTCTTTTATCCCTCCTTCATTTTATTTGTCTTTAACAACCCCCCCCTCCCCCGTGCCCCACAACCCGCAGGTGACCTTCACCAAGCGCAAGTTCGGCCTGATGAAGAAGGCCTACGAGCTGAGCGTGCTGTGCGACTGCGAGATCGCCCTCATCATCTTCAACAGCACTAACAAGCTCTTCCAGTACGCCAGCACCGACATGGACAAGGTGCTGCTGAAGTACACCGAGTACAACGAGCCCCACGAGAGCCGCACCAACTCCGACATCGTCGAGGTGAGCGCCCCCTGCTGTCCGCCCCGGCCCCGCACCTGATATGTCGCTGTTTGTCTCATCTTTGGTGGAAGGTATTTTACTGGGCAGCACTGTGGCCTCATACTGCCCAGACTGGGGGGACTGGATTGCACGGCCGACCCAACGTAGTGTCTGCAGTTTGCACGTCCTCCTGGTGTCCTCATGCACTTCCTCCAAGTGCGCCAGCTTCCTCCCACACTCAAGTATTAGTCAGATGACTTAGTGTCTCTAAATCGCCGGTAGTGATGGACTGGCTTAGTGGTCAGGCTGTTCCTGTCCCCTGCTTTGTGTCTTGTGATTCCTGGGAGAGACCCCCCCCCCTCGCACAGGATCAGCGCTTAGTGGAGACAGATGGATAGATGGGCTCACTGTTTATATAAGGGGTGTATTAGGCGAGTAGCATTTGACCATTGAGTCCGGGAAATATTCTGTTGAAGGACATTTTGGAGGCTTTGAATCTTGTAAACATAGGTAGATTTTAATAGCTTTAAATGTTTTATAGGACAGTTTTGAGGGTCTCTGGTGTCATTCTGAAACTTCAAGAGGTGCTGGCAGATACCGGGTGTGAAATCAGTTTCCCTTGAGCCGCGATGGGGAAGACCTGAACGGGCTTTAGGTGAACTTAAGAGGACGTCTTGGGTATTACTGAGTGTCTTGGAGGTGAGGGTTAGGCAGGCCAGGTGGCGCCCAGAGCCAGGGTGGGCCGACACGTG